CTGAGGACCCATGGGTGGAATGTTTTTGTTTTGACGCTTTGCTTTTCTGTAGACTGAGTCTTTCCAATTGCTGGAAAAAGGATCTGCTGATACTTTGCCTGGGAACACAGGAGTGTTCAGTGTGAGGACCCTGAAGAGGAAACAGAGCCCTCAGAACAACATAGTTTTTCAGCATACCCCAATATCCAAGGTGAGATAACTTGTCATCGGATAAGGAGTGTGACCGGGAAGGTCTGCACATAGCTTACTGTAGCAAATCTTCAGAGCAACCCAGAGACCACGTGATGATTCACCATGGTCTATAGATGAAGACGCACAGGCTCACAGAGGTCAAGGGACATGTCCCAGGGTCACATGGCAGGAAGAGGAAGAAGCAGGGGCTGTTAGGTGACGCTGACCTGATCTTTCTCCAGGTAGCAGTGTCCTTCCTCCTCCTAGGTGTTGACAGAGGCACAGCCGTCTGTAGAGTCTCCCTGGTTTCTGGGAGGCTGGGAAGGTTTGGGGACTGACATGGCTTCCTCTGTCTCCTGCAGGGCTCAGGGAAGCTGTACAAGAAGGTCTTGCTGTCCCTGTGATCACTGATATTTGAGAGCCACAGGTCTCCCATGGCTCCTTATCACATCCGCCAGTACCAGGAGAGGGACCACAAAAGGGCCCTGGAATTGTTCTCCAAGGGCATGATGGAGCATGTCCCTGCTGTCTTCAGCCATATTTTGACACTGCCCCAGACTCTCCTGACCTTACTTGGAATACTCCTGACCATAGTCATGGTTTATGGCTCCTGGCTCATGGCCACACTGTGCTGCCTCTTTGTACTCCTTTGCCTGTGGCTCTTTGTCTGGCATTCTTGCACAAAGTATGTGTCTACGTGTTTGCAAGCAGACCTGGCTGACATCACTAAGTCATACCTGAATGCACGTGGCTCCTTCTGGGTGGCTGAGTCTGGGGACCAGGTGGTGGGCATCGTGGGCTGTCTGCCAGTCAAGAATCCTCCATTAGGGAGGAAGCAACTGCAGCTCTTTCGCCTGTCTGTGTCCTCTCAGCATCGTGGACAGGGGATAGCGAAAGCACTGGTCAGAACTGTCCTCCAGTTTGCACGGGACCAGGGCTACAGTGATGTTGTCCTTGAGACCAGCATTGTGCAGTATAGTGCTTTGGCTCTCTACCAGGCCATGGGCTTCCAGAAGACAGATGAGT